GGTATTTACCAGTTCTCCGAACTACTCAAAATTTCTGCTACTGGTCAGAACTGGTCAGAACCTGCTGAATACCACCTGTGTACCTGGAGGTTGAACCGCTTTGCCTCTTTCAACCCTAAACGCTTTTCAATTTGCCAATGAACTTGGGGAAAGGGGAAATAGAAGGCTGAAAATGTGTGCATGGACCGTGAGAACCTGTGCAACTATCAAGGTCACCGCTGCAGGTACTTGAGAAAGAGACACACTGTTCCCATAACAAAAAGATGTCTCATAATTGGACAATGTGACCACTCAGGGATGGGGAAAAGGGGAAGCTATTATTTAACTAAGAAAGCATTTGGGCAGGAAAAAACAGAGCTGGTTTTGATTCTTCAGTACCAAAATGGTGTATCCAATAAAGTTTTACTTTCAGAAATTCAAAGTTCCCGAGAGTGTTTCCTTATTTTGCGTTCACTAGTCGGACGGTTAACAAGAGAGTTGAAGTCCACATATCTTAAAGATGCTGAGGTCGAGAAGCATTGATCTAACTTTCTAAGATGCAGTGGGGGATTCTGGGAGTAGAAGTCTGCCCTCCTTAAAGTTGTCCAGGTTAAGAACCACATTCAGAAGAAACGGATCGTCCTGCGTCTTCGTTCCCTTCTCAACTTTCACAAACTTTTTCCAAGCCGCAGGAGACGGGAACTCTCTTTTCCCTTTGCAGACAGTGGGTACCCGGCCTACCTGGGCGCCCGCTTGGCGTCCTTCTACGAACGGGCCGGCCGTGTCAAGTGCCTGGGCAGTCCGGAGCGAGAGGGGAGCGTCAGCATCGTTGGAGCGTAAGTTGCCAGATTCCTTGTTTCTTGGCTGGAGGGAGGCTGTGCAGAAACCCCCTCGACACCACCCTTTATAAGAAAGATTTATTTTTATTTTTTATATACACTATTTATTTACAAACATACAAAACACACACACACAAAACTTAGACGTACACTACATTTACACAATACAGTACGAGCAGGAACTTCCTGTTCTTTCTGATAGCAATTACAAATCGGTACATTTCTGCTTATGAGATTTCCCTTTCTAATATATTTCATTTGCATGTCATCATTTTTAACCCTCTTATTTTATTCATCTACTAGTATCTGCTATATTGGCTAATTTAATCTCTCTTGAGTGTGTGTGTGTGTGTGCGTGCATGCATGCATGTATGTATGTATGTATGTATGTATGATTCCCCTTAACTACTATTTTGGGGTTTTATTGACTTTCTTCCTTGTTTCTTTCCTCCATCTTCCTATACCAGTGTTTCTCAACCTTGGCAACTTGAAGATGTCTGGACTTCAACTCCCAGAATTCCCCAGCCAGCATTCGC